TTTCTCGCCACTGATACATCGGACAGTTTTAGCATTCTTTGCGACTTTTTTTATCCACATAATTCCATATAGGCGTTCTGATTGGTTCTTCCATCGCACGGCTTACTTTCCTCTGTTTATTTTAACACTGCCCGAGTACCACCGGCAATCTGCTGTTCAGGCATATACGTATGTGTGATGTATGTAACTACACCTTAAGTTCGATAGAACAAAATTGTATTAGAGTAGAAATTGTCAAACCTTGTTACCGTTTCGACCTACCATATTTGTAGTACTGTCCTTTCGATCTCTCACTGTCCAGTTCATTACTTCCATCGCCCATTCCCTTTTTGCCTGTTTAACTGATATTTGAAACGCTTTTTTTCCTTTTTTTTTCCGGCCGTCATGCGTCGGTTTCTTTTCCTTTCTTTCAAAACAGACAGGTTAATATCAACACTATGCAGTAGGGTATCCTATGTTAGTGATTTTCTGGTTTGTGGCTACGTGCCGGGCATAGTTGTGCGAAAATAATAAATTTTTTAAATGCGCTTTTTGTTCCTCTTATAACTGTGCCCTGCACATTGCAACACAGCGATAAATTTCTTTGTCTGAATTCCTAGTTAAAAAATTATTCCATTTTGCAAAAATGACTGTTTTCGTGGGGATACTGAAACTCGGTTTTGCAAATATTTTTCCTGTTTTCATTTTTATGCGTTTTTTACAGCTATGCAATGCAGAAAACGCATATTGACGAGGGATTGTCTGTGTGTGTATGTGTGCCTGTGTGTTCGTCTGTACCGATTTTTCATCCTGAGACCTACAAAAGCTACGAGCTGAAATTTTGGGAACTTAATTTACATGCATCTAGGGGCTCCCATCCCCAAAATGGGGGCTCTTACTCGCGTGGTATCCATCTGCGGGCCCACCAAAGTTTTTCTCGGGCAAGCCGCTAACTCGGAAACCAGAAAAGTTGAAAGGCTGTAATTTAAAGAAGACGTTCCTCGTCCACGCAGGTATCAATGACCTCAAAACTAGCCTCCGGGTATGCGTGGTACCCACGTGCGGGCCCGTGGAAGTTTTTTTCGAGTAAGTTGCTAGCTCGGGAACCTGAGAAGCTAGAAGACTTTAACTTTGAGGAAATGTTCCCCGTCCACTTAGGTGTTAACGATCTCAAGCCCAGACACAGGTATGCGTGGTATCCACGTAGAGGCTCGTGAAATCTCTTTTCGAGTAAGTTGCTAATTCTGGAGCCTAAGAAGCTAGAGAACTGGAATTTTAAGAGGATGTTCCCCATCCAAGTAGGTGTTAGTGAGCTAAAACCCAGACACGGGGTATGCGTGGTACCCACGTATGGGCTCGAGAAAGTCTTTTTCGGGTAAGTCGCTAGCTCGAGAACCTGAAAAGCTAGAAAACTGAAATTTTAAGGGGGTATTTCTTGATACTTCTAACAGCCAGTCTTAATTTGTTTAGCTAGAAGCATTTGCAGGAAAAACCGGTGCCGGTAGCGACAAAAACCGCGGGGGACTATGCAAAAAACGCATCTTCGCACAGGG